TCAGCCTGCCTGCCCTGCTTCCCACGCCCTGCGACCTCCCAGGCTTTGGCCCCGGGTGGTGGGGTGGGGAGGCCCCGGGGGGAGCCTGCTTGTGGAAGGGTGTCAGGCAGCCTGGTCTCCACAGCCTGTCCCACTTCCGGGGCGTGGGGCGGCGCTCAGACCCCATGGGAGGCCGCGTGACCCCATCTTCTCTGTGCCAATGGGGGGTGGGGGCTTGAAGCCAAAGCCACCAGGCTGGCGGCATCTGCCTCGGGCCCTGCTCACACTCTGTCCCCCGGAGTGACCGGGCCCACGCTCTGTCCCCCGGAGTGACCAGGTTCATGTTCTCTGTCCCCCAGAGTGACTGGGCCCACGCTCTGTCCCTAGGAGTGACCGGGCCCACGCTCTGTCCCCAGGAGTGACCGGGCCCACGCTCTGTCCCCCGGAGTGACCGGGTTTATGTTGTCTGTCCCCAGGAGTGACCGGGCCCGCTGGATCACTGCGCTGACGTACAGGGAGCAGCAGTGGCTGGGCCTCGCCAACAAGGGAGGTGAGCGCTCGCCCCAGGAGCAGGGCTCGAAGCCCCTCTTCCGGCTGGTGGGGGCGGGTGTGGGTCAGGAGGGAGAGGTACCCTCCATCCCTCCGTCCATCCCACACCTGACCCCGGGGAGGGGCCTCAGCCACATAGCCCTGCTGCCTCGGGGCCTCCCTCCCTGTGGTGCCCTGAGCCCAGTAGCTGGTGGAACAGACCCACACGCTGGAGTGAGAGGCCCACAGACCCCTTCCTCCTGCCCCCACCCCCAGGAGCTGGGAGCGCCCCCTGCTGGGCGGGCACTTTGACCCTGAAAGCAGCCTGTCCCGCTGTGGGGAGGGCCGGCTCCGGACAGAGGAGAGCTGGGCCCTGGGGGCTGTCGGGAGCCCACCCCTCCCCGAAGGACCGGCCTCACTCACACCTGCCCGTCCCGCAGACCTGCCGCAGGTGGAGGTCACCAAGGCCTACTTCGCCAAGCAGGTGGACGAGATCTCGCTGCAGCAGGTGGACGTGATGCAGGTTCTGCAGCAGGAGGACAGATGGTTCTATGGCGAGAGGCTGCGGGATGGAGAGACGGGCTGGTTCCCCGAGGACTTTGTCCAGAGCATCACCAACCTCGGGGCCGTGGAGGGCAACATGCGCAGGATGGAGCGGCTGTGCGTGGAGACAGACGTGTAGCTCGCCCCGCCGGAGCCTCCGGTGGCTTCAGCCCACATTCCAGCCAGCGAGTGGCCGTGCCAGGCCCTGGGGGCACAGTGACTCGTCCCAGACCCATCCTGGATCTCCCCGAGGACCTTGCGCTGCAGTGATGGCTCCAGGCAAGCTCGTGGGGCCACACCAGCCCTGACCCCTGGCCCAGTCCCCAGGAGGAGCCCAGCGGCCGTGGCCACTGCCCCCTACCCAGCTCCCGCCAGCCCGCCCTGCCCTGTGCACCCAGAACTGGGCCACAGGTGACGCGGAGGGGCCCCGAGAACTGTGGGGATGGCGTGACTGTCTACCTCCTGCCCCACTCGTGCCCCGTGTGCACAGGAGGCCTCGCGCCCAGGGCTGTGCTGGGTCCCAGGACCCTCCCTCACCTGCCCGTGTCTGGGTCAGGATGGTTCTACGGCGAGAGGCTGCGGGACGGAGAGACGGGCTGGTTCCCCGAGGACTTCGTCCAGAGCATCACCAACCGCGTGGCCGTGGAGGGCAACATGCGCAGGATGGAGCGGCTGCGCGTGGAGACGGACG